GTTGGGGGGTGGCAGCGGGAGGTTGGGGAAACTGAGGCACGGGGCTCAGGACCCTCCCCCCCGTTCCCCAGGTGAGCTTCCCGGACGTGGAGCGGGCGGAATGGCTCAACAAGGTGCGGTGTCCGTGTGTCTGTCCGGAGTGTCCGCGTGTGTGTCCGGAGTGTCCGCGTGTCTGTCCGGAGTGTCCGCGTGTGTGTCCGGAGTGTCCGCGTGTGTGTCCGGAGTGTCCGCGTGTGTGTCCGGAGTGTCCGTGTGTGTGTCCGGAGTGTCCGTGTGTGTGTCCGGAGTGTCCGCGTGTGTGTCCGGAGTGTCCGCGTGTGTGTCCGGAGTGTCCGTGTGTGTGTCCGGAGTGTCCGTGTGTCTGTCCGGTCCCCGCTGCTCCCGCGTCCCTCCATCCTCCCTTCCTCCCTCCCTCATCCTCCCCTCTCTCCTTCCGGCACACCTCCCTCCTTCCCTCCCTCCCTCCGGGATCCTTTCATTCCTCCCTCCCTCCTCCGTCCTTCCTTCCATCCCTCCTCCCCAGCATCCTTCCCTCCCTCCTGGTTTCTTTCCTTCCCTCCCTCCATTCCCTCTGTCCATCTCTCCATCCCCAGTGTCCATCTCCGTTCCCAGTGTCCATCCATCTGTCCATCCCCAGTGTCCATCTCCGTTCCCAGTGTCCGTCCATCTGTCCATCCCCAGTGTCCATCTCCATTCCCAGTGTCCGTCCATCTGTCCATCCCCAGTGTCCATCTCCATTCCCAGTGTCAGTGTCCATCTCCATTCCCAGTGTCCGTGTCCATCTCCATTCCCAGTGTCCGTCCATCTGTCCATCCCATGTCCATCCCCAGTGTCCATCTCCGTTCCCAGTGTCCGTCCATCTGTCCATCCCATGTCCATCCCCAGTGTCCATCTACATTCCCAGTGTCCGTCCATCTGTCCATCCCATGTCCATCCCTCTGTTCTCAGTGGCCGTCCCTCATTCTGTGCCCCCCCCATGTCCATCTGTCCGTCCCCGTGTCCACCCCGTGTCTGTGTGTCCGTGTCCGTGTCCGTGTGTCTGTGTGTCCATGCCGTGTCCGTGTGTCCGTGTGTCCCTCCCGTGTCCGTGTGTCCATGTCCGTGTGTCCATCCCATGTCCGTGTGTCCATGTGTCCATCCCGTGTCCGTGTGTCCATGCCGTGTCCGTGTGTCCATGCCGTGTCCGTGTGTCCATCCCGTGTCCGTGTGTCCGCAGGTCCTGGCGCAGGCCTGGCCGTTCCTGGGGCAGTTCCTGGCCCAGCTCCTGCAGGGCC